ACTTTGGGAGGCCAAGGTGGGTGGATCACCTGAGGTCAGGAGTTCGAGACCAGCCTGGCCAACATGGCGAAACCCATCTTTACTAAAAATACAAAAATTAGCTGAGTGTGGTGGCTCATGCCTGTAATCTCAGCTACTCAGGAGGCTGAGGCAGGAAAATCGCTTGAAGCCAGGAGGCAGAGGTTGCAGTGAGCCGAGATTGCTCCATTACACTCCAGCCTGGGCAACAAGAGCGAAACTCCGTCTCAAATATATATATATATATATATGGTTACAAACTCCGTCTCAAATGTGTGTATATATATAGTTACAAACTCTATTGTCAATCTGGGCTGGGCCCCGGGGCCGGAGGGACTGCAGGGAGGGAAGGATGATCCCTCATCCCACCCCTCAGAGTCCCTCCTCTGCACCCAAACTCAACACCATCCAAGGGCCAAGGTGGCTGGCTTTGCAGGCCTCAAGGGGCCAGCCAGCTGGGCAGGGGAAGGGGCTAGGCTTGATTGGCAGGGTGGGGAAGGGTGCACAGAGAGGGACCATATCTCCTTGTCTGGCAGGTAAAAACGGCAGAAGGTGAATTTGGTGTCTCCATCTGTCTCCATTTATAGATATTTACAAAAGAAAGTCATGAGCAACAGGCCACAGTCATGCAAAAGAAACGCACCCCCCTCCCCAAACTAACCCCCTGCCCACCCTGAAACCCCGAGATGTCTCCCACCCAGCAGTCCAGTCACCTTCCCCAAGGTTCTGAGAGCAAAGAGGGCACGTCCTTGACGAGTCAGTGGGGGAAGGGTGGTGGATCCGGGGACCCAGAGCCACCAGGAGTAGGCGCTGGGGGAACCCAGGCTGATTGGGCCGAGCTCTTCCCAGGCCAGGGTGCTGGAGTCAGGAGGAAGGGGTCCCCCAGTCTTTGAAACCCCCACCTTCCTCCAGAAGGTCCACGGAGCCAGGGTTGACTCTGTCCTGAGTGTGGGAGGGGGTGTCCTGGCATCCTACCCCCGGCAGAGGCTCTTGTGGGCAGTGGTGAGGGCCGGGCCTGGAGGTCAGATAGCAGACTCCCTGCGGTAGGAGATGTTGTCCAGCGGGAGGGAAGCCTGCATGCGCTCCAGGTCCAGGTGGCTGCCGAACTCCAGCATCCGGATGATGCCCGCCTCCTCCTTGGAGCCGGCCTCCAGGCCCAGGCCTGCGGCCACTGCGGCCGCCGCAGCCGCCTCCTCCTCCATCTCCTCTTCTTCCTGGCTCATGAGGGCCAGCTCGTTCTCGTAGCAGAAGGCACTGGGAGGGGGCGGCGGGGCGGGCAGCACGGTGATCTTACTCTCCTGCAGCTCCCGGGCCGAGCAGCAGGGCGTGCCGGCCACCTCGTAGGTCTTGTGAAAACGCGAGTAGTCCACCTTGTAGTGGCTCTTCTCCTCGAAGACCACGGGCTCAAAGCGGTGGCCCCACAGGATCTCGCTGGCCAGGTAGGAGCTGCGGGCCTGGGTGGTCATGGCCGTGGCCTCCACCATGCCCTCCAGGATGACCACGATCTCGAAGTCCTCTGACTCCAGCTCCTCCTTGCCCATGCCATAGAGCGGGCTGTCCTCATCGATCTCGTGGACAATGATGATGGGCGACACCAGGAAGATGCGGTCCAGGCCGATGTCATAGCCCACGTTGAGGTCCCGCTGGTCCAGGGGCAGGTACTCACCCTCCTGGGTCATGTAGGGCTTGATGAGCTGGGCCCGCACGTGGGCCTCCACAATGTGGCTCTTGCGTAGGTTACCCACGCGCCACATGAGGCAGAGCTTGCCGTCACGCACCGAGATGACCGCGTGGTGGCTGAACAGCAGCGTCTGTGCCCGCTTCTTGGGCCGCGCCATCTTGGCCATGATGGTGCCGATCATGAAGGAGTCGATGACGCAGCCCACGATGGACTGGACCACCACAGCGATGACTGCCAGCGGGCACTCCTCTGTCACGCACCGGAACCCGTAGCCGATGGTCGTCTGCGTCTCCACCGAGAACAGGAAGGCACCCAGGAAGCCGTTCACGTGCATGATGCAGGGCTTGGGGGCCGCCGGGGCTGCCCCGCCACTGCCCGCCGCCGGCCCCCCCGCCCCGGGCACCCCTGGGCTGGCCTCCAGGTCACCGTGGAAGAAGGCGATACACCAGAAGAGGAGGCCAAAAAAGAGCCAGGAAACAAGGAAGGCCGCGGAGAAGATCATGAGCATGTAGCGCCAGCGCGTGTCCACGCAGGTGGTGAAGATGTCCGCCATGTAGCGCTGCGACTTGTTGCTCAGGTTGGCGAAGTACACATTGCATTGGCCGTTCTTCTTGACAAAGCGGTTGCGGCGTTTCCGCCGGGGCACGTGGGCCTGGCCGTTGCGGCTGTGTCCGTGCATGTCCTGAAGCCGGCGTGGTCACCTGGGAAGACGCAGGGCCTGCAGAGGAGAAGCCAGACAGGTGAGATGCTGGGGAGCGAGGGGTCTCCTCAGGGCCACCCAGACTCAGCCCCAAGACTCTCAGAAGCAGGTGAGCCTGGACCAGGACCTAAGACTTCCTCTGCCGCAGCAGGTGGAGGGTGGCAGCGGAGGGGGTTCTGATGACAGCGTCTGAGCCAGTGCCCCTGAGTCCGGCCCAGCTTAGAGATAGGGGTCCACAGACCAGGAAGCTAAAGCCACAAGGATCCAGGTCCTAGTCCCTGCCCCTCAACACTGCCCCTCTGGCCCTCCTATGCTCACTGTTCTGGAAGCTTCCTGAGGCCCATCTCGGTTCCTGCCTGTCCCTCTGTCCTGCTTGCCCTGAGCATAGGGAGCCACGGAGGCTCTGGGCCTGCTCCCCTCCCTGGATTCCATCTATGGACTTTTGGGCTTCTTGGGGGCTGGACATCCTCCTGTAAGATAGACACTGGCCACCTGTGGCTCTTTACATTTAATTAAAACTAAATAAAATATTAACTATAGCTCCTTCCTTGCATGAGCCACATTTTAAATGATCAGGAGCCACATATGGTCAATGGCCACCACACCACACTGGACAGAGAAGACATATAGGAGAGTTCTAGCACTGAGAAATTTCCGGCCGGATACAGGGGCTCATGCCTGTGATCTCAGCATTTTGGGAGGCCGAGATGCAAGGATTGTTTGTGCCAGGAGTTTGAGACCAGCGTGGGCAACATAGTGAGACCCCATCTCTACAAAAAATAAGAAAATTAGCCAGGCATCGTGGTGCATGCCTGTGGCATCAGCTACTCGGGAGGCTAAGGCAGGAGGATCTATTGAGCCCAGGGGGTCAAGGCTGCAGTGAGCTGTGATCATCCCACTGAACTCCAGCCTGGGCCACAGAGCAAGACCCCATGTCAAAAGAAGAAAAAAAGAAAAAAGAAAAAAGAAAAAGAAAAAGAAAGTTCTACTGGAACCCGCAGCCCCACCTGGGTCTGAGCTACTTTCTTAGACTCTTCCCTCCCAGTGCTGCTTTGAGTCCTTGAGCCCAAATTCCTGCCCAGTGCCCCGTGGAGGAAGCGGGAGTCCCCAGCTTTGACTCCTCTGTAGACATCGCTATTCCCATGTCCCGGGTGGCTCAGAGAGGGAAAGCCAGCTGCCAGCCACAAAGCTGGCAGTGGATACAAACTTGCGTGGCACCAACATGAATGAGTTGATGGCGGGGAGACAGGGAGTGGGAGGGCAGGACACACTCAGTTCACCTCTCTGAGCTTCCACGTCTTCACCTGTAACATGGGCACCAAAACTCCCTACCTCATGGGACCTACGGGGACAGCAGGCGCTGGGGTAAAGCCATCACCCTCTGCTTGCCTTCCCACACTTCCCAGGAGCTGGTGACAGGCAGGATTTGCCTGTCAAGCATCCCCAGCTGTTGCAGCAGAAGAGGCCCCTCACCGCACTGGGTGGCGGGATGTGCCTCGGGCCGTAGAGGACAGACCCTCTCTCCACCCCTCCCTGCCACTGGGTCCCCAGGGAAGACATGGTGCTACCCTGCCCCCAGCAGCTGGCAGGGCCAGGACTGGGCCTGGGTTCCCAATAACATTTTGGCCCAGAATTACATAAGGCTGGAAGTTTCTATTTTCTGTTCTATTCTTCTTCCTGATCTAATTGTGCATCTGTGGCAATGTTTATACACTTCCCCGGTTCAGGACAACTCGGTTGCTGCAGCAACCGGTACGCGCCAACGCTATAATTTAGAGATCAACAGCCTCAGAGCCTGCCTCTTCCCAAGAGAAACTCCCTCTCCGGGTCCAGGGAGAGTGAGCCCTGCCCCCACCTCCTCCCCCGCGGTCACCCACCCTGACTCCGAGTTCTTCTCCCTATTCCCTTTGTTCCCAAAGAGCTCCCTGGCTCCTACAGTCCTGGGTTGAAGTCCTAGATCCACTGTGTGACTTGGGCGAGCTATTGACTACTCTGAAACTCAGTTTCCTCATCT